ATATAGTGAATGCAGGGTCCGGGGAGAGCGGATATAGTGAATGCGGGGTCCGGGGAGAGCGGATATAGTGAATGTGGGGTCCGGGGAGAGCAGATATAGTGAATGCGGGGTCCGGGGAGACCAGATATAGTGAATGCAGGGTCCGGGGAGACCGGATATAGTGAATGCGGGGTCCAGGGAGAGCGGATATAGTGAATGCGGGGTCCGGGGAGAGCAGATATAGTGAATGCAGGGTCCAGGGAGAGCGGATATAGTGAATGCAGGGTCCGGGGAGACCAGATATAGTGAATGCGGGGTCCGGGGATACCAGATATAGTGAATGCGGGGTCCGGGGAGACCGGATATAGTGGATGCGGGGTCCGGGGATACCAGATATAGTGAATGCGGGGTCCGGGGAGAGCGGATGTAGTAAATGTGGGGTCCGGGGAGAGCGGATATAGTGAATGCGGGGTCCGGGGAGAGCGGATATAGTGAATGCAGGGTCCGGGGAGAGCGGATATAGTGAATGCAGGGTCCGGGGAGAGCGGATATAGTGAATGCGGGGTCCAGGGAGACCAGATATAGTGAATGCAGGGTCCGGAGTTTACTAACACTTTAATCACTTGTCTAGCAGGGCAGTTTTTTGTCACACATTTTTGCTAGAAAGCACTGCAAACCCCCAAAAAGTACATATTTTCTGAAAGCAGAGGCCCTGAAGAATAAAAAGGTGTCAGTTGCAATTCTTTATGTTACACGATATTTGTGCCGTTATTCATCAAGCACATATTTTGAGGAGAAAACACCCTGAAATGAATATTAGTGCACAAAACACAATATTATACAAACAACTGGGTTGTGTTGAGTAAATAGATACCAAACATATCGAGCGGGGGCGGACTGACAACTCATGGGGCCCCCGGGCAATAGGGGATCATGGGGCCCCTGCAGTGGCGAACTGACAACTCATGGGGCCCCCGGGCAATAGGGAATCATGGGGCCCCTGCAGGGGCGAACTGACAACTCATGGGGCCCCCGGGCAATAGGGGATCATGGGGCCCTTGTCCTTGCCCAAACTCAAAAAAGCCTATAAAAAAGGTACCAGGGGCATCTCATGGGGGCCCCCTACTGACCCCGGGCCCTTGGGCAGTGCCCGAGTTTCCAAATGGTCAGTCCGCCCCTGATATCGAGTCTCAAAGGATAAGTTCCCCTTTTTACAACAAAGAATAAATGTTTTGCAGGTAAAAAGTGCATTTATTATTTTTTGTTTCTGGAGCCTCTAAAGCGGGGGGTCAGCAACCAGTAGATCACGGGCAGGTGACTGGTAGATCGCGATTTGGACTTGCTGACCCGCCATCCCAGAGCATCAAACAAAGTGCAGTGCAGAGGGACTACTTGGTAAGTTGGATCTGTAGTAAGGAGCAAGAGCCGCATAATCCGATGTCTCCTCTGTAGTGCCGGCTCCTGTCCCATGCCGAGTGACACCAACTGCACTCCACCTCTTATCCCGGCTATCGGTCTCCAGAGTGGTGCCAGCAGCAGGAAAGAAGAGATCTTCAGGTCAGTGTGAAGCAATACACTGGGCATAATAGTATAGGGCTGCTTTCACATTGGTGTGCTGCGGTCTACCCACACAGTGGGTGCAGTGTACCTGCGGTTTTTCCTGCACCACAGACTTCTATTAGATCCTACAGGTTTGAATGCAGGAGTTTTTATTTGCTTTCACCTGCAGGATATAATGGAAGTCTATGGCGAAGCGCAGCTAACCAAGGAAAGTCGCAGATCCACTGTGCTGCACCTGCGCACATGAAAGCCTGTGATTGGCCAGCAATTCGAGAAGCAGCAGACAGATGAGCTCACCTCTGTCACTCTACTCTTTCCTCCTATCAGCATGCTTCTAGCAGGGCAGCACAACTGTTTGGCGCTTTGTGCTGCTTCTACCCTCCCAGTCTGAGCTCTGCGAACTGTACAGGGAACTGCAAAAGGCTGATACCAGGTACATTCATTGCAGTAGGGAAAAAAAAAAACATTTATTGATGCATTTGTCATTTATGTCTGCCTTGAGTTAAAATTTTCACGATTAATTTTTCTTTATTGTCCATGACAATGTGTGCTTAACGTGTTCTATTCATTCTCTTCCATAAAAAATCTCCATTGAAAAAAAAATCATAAAAAAATCATAAAATTTACCCTCCAGCTCTGCATGGACAGTTTGAGCTCAACTCCAGTCCAGCATTGCCAAATGTTTTGTTTTTATTAGTGTCCCCATTGGAGAGATTTCCCATCACTTCCTGTCCCTGTGACACCAGGAAAGGAAATCTGGATGGGACAGCAGTTGTCACATGGTTAGGAAGGCACAGGCATCAACGTGTTTTTTTCAGTGTCCCCATTGGCGAGATTTCCCATCACTTCCTGTTCCTGTGACAGCAGGAAAGGAAATCTGGATGGGACAGCAGTTGTCACATGGATAGGAAGGCACAGGCATCAACGTGTTTTTTTCAGTGTCCCCATTGGCGAGATTTCCCATCACTACCTGTCCCTGTGACACCAGGACAAGAAATTTGTACAGGGAACAGTTGTCACGGGGGACAGGAAGGCGCAGACATCAAAATTTGTTTTGTCTGTGTCCCCATTAGAGAGATTTCCTTCATTTCCTGTTCCTGTGACACCAGGACAAGATACATGTATGGGGAGTTGTCACTTGGACAGAAAGATACAGAAATCAAAATGTGCTTTTGTCTGTGTCCACATTGGAGAGATTTTCCTTCACTTCCTGTTCCTGTGACACCAGAACAAGAAACGTATTTGGAAAAGTAGTTGTCATAGGAGCAGAAAGGCACGTGTTTTTGTCTGTGTCCCGATTGGAGAGATTTCTCATCACTTCTTGCCCCTGTGACACCAGGACAAGAAACGTGGATAGAAAAGTAGTTGTCATAGGAGCAGAAAGGCACAGACATCAAAATGTGTTTTTTTTTTTTCCTGTCTCTATCAGAGAGATTTCCAATCACTTCCTGTCCCTGTGACACAAGGACAAGAAACATGCATGGGGAGCAGTTATTACAGGAGCAGGGAAACAAAGACAGCAAAATGTGTTTTGTCTGTGTCTCCATTGGGGAGATTTCCCATCATTTCCTCTCCCTATAACACCAGGACAAGAAATCTGGATGAGAGCGCAGTTGTCACATGGACAGGAAAGCAAAATGTTTCATTTGTGTCCCCATTGGAGAGATTTTCCATCACTTCCTGTCCCTGTGACACCAGGACTAGGATGGATGAGCAGTTGTCTTAGGGACAGGAAGGCACAGACATCAAAATGTGTTTTTGTGTCCCCATTGGAGATATTTCCCATCACTTTCTGTCCCTGTGACACCAAGATTGGGATGAATGAGCAGTTGTCACAAGAACAGGAAGGCACAGGCATCAAAATGTGTTTTTTCTGTATCCCTATTGGAGAGATTTCCCATCACTTCCTGTCTCCCTGTGACACCAGGACAAGAAACTTGTATGGAGAGCGGTTGTCACAAGGGCAAGAAAACACAGACACCAAAATGTCTTTTGTCTTTGTTCCCATTGGAGAGATTTCCCTCCATTTCTTGTCCCTGTGACACCAAGACAAGAAATCTGGACGAGAGAGCAGTTGTCACATGGACAGGAAGGCAAAATGTGTCATTTGTGTCCCCTTTGGAGAGATTTCCCATCACTTCTCGCCCCTGTGACACCCGGTCAAGGAACCTGGATGGAAAAGCAGCTGTCACGGAGCAGAAAGGTACAGACATAAAAAAAAAAAAAATTTCTGTGTCCCCACTGGGGAGATCTCCCATCACTTCCTGTCCCTGTGACATCAGGAAAGGAAATCTGGGTGGGACATCAGTTGTCACATAGACAGGAAGGCACAGGCATCAACATGTGTTTTTTTTGTGTCCCCATTGGAAAGATTTCACATCACTTCCTTGCCCTGTGACACCAGGACTAGAATGGATGAGCAGTTGTCACATGAACAGGAAGGTGCAGACATCAACATGTGTTTTTTTTCAGTGTCCCCATTGGGCAGATTTCCCATCACTTCCTGTCCCTGTGACACCAGGAAAGGAAATATGGATGGGACAGCAGTTGTCACAGGGACAGGAAGGCCAGGACATCAATATGTGTTTTTTTTTTTCAGTGTCCCCATTGGGTAGATTTCCCATCACTTCCTGTCCCTGTGACACCAGGAAAGGAAATCTGGATGGGACAGCAGTTTCACATGGACAAGAAGGCCCAGGCATCAATGTGTTTTTTTCAGTGTCCCCATTGGGCAGATTTCCCATCACTTCCTGTCCCTGTGACACCAGGAAAGGAAATCTGGATGGGACACCAGTTGTCACAGGGGCAGGAAGGCGCAGACATCAAATGTTTTTTTTTTTGTTCAGTGTCCCCATTGGGTAGATTTCCCATCACTTCCTTTCCCTGTGACACCAGGAAAGGAAATCTGGATGGGTCAGCAGTTGTCAAGGGACAAGAAGGCCCAGGCATCAATGTGTTTTTTTTCAGTGTCCCCATTGGGCAGATTTCCCATCACTTCCTGTCCCAGTGACACCAGGACAAGAATCTGTAGAAGTGTAGTGAATGTAGAGAGGAGAGAGATCTGGACACACCAGCACAGGATTGTGGTTCATCAATCTGCTTTATTGAGATGTAGTCAGCAGTGACATAATCCGTGACTCAGAGCCGAGGACAGGGACAGGAGAAGTCGCAGCACACGCTCACCCAGACAGGCCACTCCCCTGCGCTCACCATCCACACCCTCTGCAAGCTCCTGCAGGTGTCAGCAGAGCAGGCCGGGCTCCGTGGGGCCACTCTCTCCAGACGGGGTGGGGGGGGGGGGGGGAATGGGGGGGGTAGGCTAACCGTGTGACGCTCTGCAGGTCGGGTCTAGCAGGAAGTGAATTATCGCTCCGCAGAGGCGGGGCCTCACACTACACAGACGCAAGCAGCTTTCAGTGACACCACCACAGAGAAGAAGGGGAGGGGGAGGGAGGGGGACTCTAGTAGGCGTGGTTGGAGACGAAGAGGGACTCTCCTGCGGCTGCGCCAGCCTGACCGGAGGAAACGTACTTTCCTTGGCACGCCAGGCTGTTGGCCTGAAAAAGACAAAAAGAAGAAAATCAGCAAAAAAAGTATACAAGTTCTTCCCTACTAAACTGCTGCAGTGTACATGGGGGCCGTGGTGTCACAGCCGGAGGAAGCAGCGGTCTCTCTGCGCGGGTTCAAAACTCCTCCCCCCTCCCCTGCTAAGTCAGAACCAGAGCTCTCCAGTCTACAGGAAACAGGAGCTGTGAAGAGCTGAGCGGACTCACCAGGGAGTGTCAGACCTCTGCAGAGAGACCACTGCTTCCACACAGAGAGCAAGGGTCCTTCACTGCAGCGTGCTGGCAGGGGACAGGCTTTTCTACTCAGGCTGGGGCTACTTTCTAGATAAGATGGTAAGATTGCAGAGCTAGAGCTCTACCTCCCCGGGGAGTGCATCAGACCTCTGCAGAGAGACCACTGCTTCCACACAGAGAGTATGGGTCCTTCAATGCAGCGTGCTGGCAGGGGACAGGCTTTTCTACTCAGGCTGGGGCTACTTTCTAAAGAGGATAAGATGGGAAGACCTCAAAGTTACTATAGCTCTGTAAAGGCTCTGATTTGCCAAGGAGTGTGTTGGGCCTCTGCAGAGAAACCATTGCTTCCAGGAGGAGAGAAGGGGTCCTCGCTGCAGCTTGCTGGCAGAGGACAGCTTTTCTACTCAGGCTGGCTACTTTCTAAAGAAGATAAGATGGGAAGGGCTCTGACCCACCAAGGAGTGCGTTTGACCTCTACTCAGAGAGACCACTGCTTCCACACAAAGAGCAAGGGTCCATCACTGCAGCGTGCTGGCTAAGGCTTTCCTGCTCAGGCTGTGGCTACTTTCTAAAGAAGATAAGATGGGAAGGGCTCTGACCCACCAAGGAGTGCGTTGGACCTCTGCAGAGAGACCACTGCTTCCACCTGGAGGGCAAGGGTCCTTCACTGCAGTGTGCTGGCACGGGACATGCTTTTCTACTCAGGCTGGGGCTACTTTCTAAAGAAGATAAGATGTGAATATTGCAGAGATACTATAGCTCTGTAAAGGCTCTGATTTGCCATGAGTGTGTTGGGCCTCTGCAGAGGGACCACTGCTTCCAAAAGGAGAGAAGGGGTCCTTCACTGCAGCAGGCTGACAGGGGACAGGCTTTTCTAATCAGGCTGTGGCTACTTTCTAAAGAAGATAAGATGGGAAGATTGCAGAGCTAGAGCTCTACCTCCCTGGGGAGTGCATCAGGCCTTGCAGAGAGACCACTGCTTCCACACAGAGAGCAAGTGTCCATCCCTGCAGCATGCTGGCAGGGGACGGGCTTTTCTACTCGGCTGTGGCTACTTTCTAAAGAAGATACAATGTGAAGTCTGCAAAGTTAGAGCTCAGCTTCACCAGGGAGTGTGTCAGACCTCTGCAGAGAGACCACTGCTTCCACACGGAGAGCAAGGATTCTCGTCTGCAGCGTGCTGGCAGGGGACAGGCTTTTCTACTTAGGCTGGGGCTACTTTCTAAAGAAGATAAGATTGGAAGATTGCACAGCTAGAGCTCTACGAAGACTTGCCAAGGAGTGTGTCAGACCTCTGCAGAGAGACCACTGCTTCCACACAGATAGCAAGGGTCCTTCACTGCAGCATGCTGGCAGGGGGCAGGCCTTCTACTCAGGCTGTGGCTACTTTCTAAAGAAAATAAACTGTAAAACTTTGCACCTGGATTGTATTTAGCTGTTTTTAAAACTTAAAAGTTCATTTGGGCTGTAAAGGGCCGGTACACCCTAATAAAAAAATAAAAATTGATATTGTCCCGTGACACATGTGAACAGGCAGACCTTTCCACCTCCACTGGGGCATAATAGACCAGTTAAAGGGATGCCAGGACTGGGCAGGAAGGGGTTAACCAAGTATTATTACCCGTTGATCCTGCCAGCACGTCTGTTGTTTTCCCCACTTCCTTTAACAAAGTGACAACGCTGTTTGTTCCGCAGTGAAACCGCACATCGGTGTTGTCACATTGTGGACAAACGAATAACACTTCTTAAAGTGGAACTCTACCAGTAAAAAAAAAAAAATGCAAGCAGGACGGCTCCCTGTTGTAGATACATTGATTTTTGTGACACCGGCCCTTTAAGGCAGTATGGAAGGAAAAGGAACGAGGACATCTAGTGGCAGCGGAGAGCACTGCCGTTAGGGGTACCTACCAGTGCACGCTTGGTGTATTCTTCTTGGGCGTTCTTGACGTTCTCCTTCTTTCCGCTCCACGCTTTAAGGGCGGAGGCCTGGAGGGCGCGGCCGTAAGAGAAGGTCAGGGCCCAGGGCTTCAGCAGGGGGCACTTGTTGATGGCATTCAGGTGAACGGTGGCCTCCTCCTCACTCTGACCTCCGGACAGGAAGGTGACACCTGTATGGGGCAAACAAACACCAGAACATGAAGGTCACGGCTTTCCTCCTCGGTACCTTCCCTTTCGTTGCCAAGAGGACCCCATATCCCCTCTTACCGGTGACGGCGGGTGGCACGGTGCGCCTCAGGGCGGTGACTGTTGCGATGGCAACCTCCTCAGGGGTGTACTTCTTGGTGCAGGCATGGCCGGGGGTCACCATGTTGGGTTTGAGCAAAGTTCCCTCCAGGTAGACGTGGTGGTCACTGAGGGCCTTGTACACAGCAGCCAGGACCTGCCGGAAGACGTATCTCATCAGTATATCGCCCGCTGGGCACACAGGGGCTGGACATGGCCAACTCAGCCTATGAAGATCCTACATCAGCTAACAGACATGTTTTGTGCATAGGGGAGAGGGGGGGCACCTGAGCGCTGGCCTAGATAGGGAAGGGGGACACCTGACCATGCCCTATATAGAGAAGGGGGGCATCTAAGTTTATGCCCTATATAGGGAAGGGGGGCACCTGGCCATTGCCCCATTATAGGGAAGGGGGCATCTACGTTCTGGCCTATAGAGGGAATGGGGGCATCTAAGTTATGACCTATATAGGAAAGGGGGGCATCTAAGTTATGACCTATATAGGAAAAGGGGGCATCTAAGTTATGACCTATATAGGAAAGGGGGGGGGGCATCTAAGTTTATGACCTATATAGGGAAGGGGGGCATCTGGCCATTGCCCTATATTGCCTATATAGGGAAGGGGGGCATCTAATTTCTGGCCTATATAGAGAAGGGGGCATCTAATTTCTGGCCTATATAGGGAAGGGGGGCATCTAATTTCTGGCCTATATAGGGAAGGGGGGCATCTAATTTCTGGCCTATATAGAGAAGGGGGCATCTAATTTCTGGCCTATAGCGGGAAGGGGGGCATCTAAGTTCTGGCCTATATAGCAAATGGGGGCATCTCTGTGCTGGCCTTTATAGGGAAAGGGGGGAGGGGCATCTGAATTTGCCCTATATACTAGGGGAGGGGACATTTAAGCCCTGTCTCCAAAATCGCAGAAGGGGGGCATGTAAGTGTTGTCCTATAAAGGGAAGGGGGGTCATCTGAGCTCTGGTCTATATAGGGATGGGGGGGGGGGCATCTGAGGTCTGGTCTATATAGGGATGGGGGGTGGTGACATCTGAACTTGCCCTATATACTAGGGGAGGGGGACATCCAAGCCCTGTCTATGCCGTGTGTAATTATACTTCATGATACACCCTAAACATGGATGTAACAAAGCATGGTGTGAAACATGAACTTTGCCTTCTATGATTACTAAATGCTCCCATCCGTTCAAACAAGAATATTTGTTCATTCTTAAAGTAATTAATGATCAGTTGATGTCCAGCCAAACATAACACAATAAAAGATGAAATAAAAAGCATCATTTGCTGCAACATTCACTCTACATTCAAAACTCTGCGCTGCAGTACTTCTTTTCTACCACTAGATGCCCTCAGTCTGATGGCCAGCATTATTCAACTTACTCCTGCCCCCCTGCCTGTGATTGGACAGTGAAAGGAGAAGCAGCATGGTGATGAGATTATCTCTCTGTCCTTTTCCTGTCCTCATAACAGCAGCTGAACTCAGACTTTCTATGCTGCTTCTTCCTCTCACACTTCAGCCCTGGGACAGCAAAAGGCAAGCCCATTTTGAATCCCCATTTGTACCTTCTCGGTGACGTACTGGCACCTCCTCAGATCATGGTCGCCATCAGGAAGAACCTCAGGCTCCACAATGGGGACAATACCGTTCTGCAGAGACACAAAAGATCAAAAGTCAGACAAAAAGATCAATAACAACTTTTTAAGTCCTGTGAAGCATTAGGACAGGCCCTCACACCCTTCTCGGGATACGCAGGATACATAGACATTTAATGCCCGGTCATACCGCTGCGATTTGGGAATTAAAATAGCATTTAATGAATGTGAATGTCAGCGTATTAACATTGGCGATTTGCTGCAGCGCGATTTCTAAAAGTAGTTTTCGAATTACTTTTTTCTTCAGCTTTTGTTGCGATTTCATACACAGAATATTATTATTTTACAGGATTTATATCGCCAACAGTTTGCTCAACGCTGTACAATATATGGCTCCACGCACACTGGGGGGCGTTTTAATAACGCTGGTAACCATAGCTGTGTAAAGTTGCATTACAAATGCAAGTTCTTCAGTGTTTTTTAGCGTTTAGCTGCATTTTTCCGCATTTCTCTGCGTTTGCGTTTCTTAGCATTTTTTTTTTTTTTTTTTTTTTTAAACACACAAAAAGTTTGCTAAAAAAAAAAAAAAAAAAAAAAAGCTTAGATATCCACCGAGTGTGAAAACATTGGTGGGGAGAACAACCAAACACACAAACTAGGAAACAGGAACATGCATTTCCACGATACTATGAGGCTCCACGCACACGGGGCGATTTGATAATGCTGGTAACGTTAGCTGTGTAAAGTCACGTTGAAAAAGTGAGTTTTTCAGCTTTTTTTAGCATTTTTAGGGGTTTTCTTTTTACCAAAAAAATGTTCAAAAATTCTGGCTTGTGACATTTTTTTTGCATTAGCTTTTTTTTAGCGGTTTTAGTTTTTTGTTGACCACAAGTAATTTTTTTTCGGTCAAAAAAAGTCCAAAAACGCCGGCTTGTCTTTGCCACATTTTTCAGCGTAGAGTGGTTATCCAGCTACAAAACTCCTCTAGAAGCCCACTAGTTCTGGGGTTTTTTTACCAGCCAAAAAATGCTGATTCCAGTCTGTGTGTGTATGGACACATAGGATAACATGCCGGGGAGTTTACTGGCTGTAGAAAGAAAAACCGTCAAAAGCCAAAAACAGCCGCTGTAAAAACGTCCCGTGTGCATGAGGACTAAAGGGAGACAATACAGCAATGATACAGTTCAATACAAGAGGGTTAGGAGGGCCCTGATCCTGGGAGCTTACAATCTAAGAGGGAGGGGCTGGTGGTACTAAAGGTAATAACTGTGGGGGATGGACTGGTAGAAGGAATAGAAGATTTGGTTATTAGCTGAGGGCAGGATAGGCTTCTCTGAAGAGAGAGGTTTTCAGAGATCACCTAGAAGTGTGCAGAGTAGGTCATAGTCTGATAAATTGGGGTAGAGAGTTCCAGAGGATGGGGGAGGCTCTGGAGAAGTCCTGGAGACGAGCATGGGAGGAGGAGACAAGGGAGCTAGAGAGCAGGAGGTCGTGGGAGGATGGTTTGGGTGATATTTGGAGACAAGATTGGTGATGAAATTTGGGGCAGAGTAATAAATAATGGAAGTTATTATTATACAGGATTTATATTATTATTATACAGGATTTATTATTATTTATTTATATTATTATAGAGGATTTATGGCGCCAACAGTTTGCTCAGCGCTTTACAATATAACGGGAGACAATCCAGCAACAATACAGTTCAATACAAGAGGGATAGAAGGGCCCTGATCCTGGGAGCTGACAATCTAGGATCACACAAAATCGTTGAAAATCTTCACAAGTAGCAATAAAGTGTGACCATTGACTTATACAGGCCATACGCGGTTTGAATTCCGAACGCTTTTTCATCCGAAAATTGAAAACATCATTTGCTCAGTAATCCGATGGCGCCATCATTGATTTTGAAAATCGACCGACGAAGTCATAAAGTTCACCCCATGTAACAGGCGAAACTTCTGTTCCTTGCAGGTCACGGCTCATATTCTTCTCGGAAAAACGATCGTACGATTTGACTGTCATTGAGTCGAAAAATCGGTCGTTTTTTCACAAATTTTCCAACCAAAAAGGGGAGGAACCACGAAAATCGGTCAGTGCCACTGACCCACTAACAGAGCGAAAATCGGCCGATTTATTCTTAGGTCCAATTTTCGGAAGAAAAATCGTTGATTTTCGACCCATGTATGGCCAGCCTTAATGTCCTCTCACAACTTCCTGTTCCAGCTGTAATTCCGATAATACAGAAGTGGAGGGATTTCTACATAAGCGGTCAGTGAGGAAAGGTTGATTGCTGTAATGAGCCTACATCGTCCTCAGGCTCTACCAACAACCAGCATTGTGCAATCATACACATGACGGGACGTGAGAGCCTTCGGCTGGCCATACATTATACAATTTTCTTGAGATTTTTGCTTTAGATTTACCAAAAAACCATATAATAGGAGGTCAAACCCAAACAACACTTCCAGCTGTATCCAGTTAGGCAGGCCCTTGCACTACACAGTTGAAGGTAAACCTAAAGGAAAAATCTCAAGAAAATTGTTTGGTGTATGGCCAGCCTTCCTCTGGACATTGTGTGGCAAACCAAAAAAAAAAAAAAAAAAAATAATGAAGGATCCCTTTAAAAAATTCAAAAAAGAAGAGGAGGGAGGGGAAGAGAGGGGCAAACGGTCCGTTACCTGTTGGCAAATGCTGGCATAACGTGCAAGCACGTTGGCATTCTCAATGATGGCGAGACGAGAGGGGGTGTGGTCGGAGATCTTCAGCACGCAACGCCACTTGGCGAAGTCAGCGCCGTCCTTCTTGTACTGGGCACAGCGCTCAGACAGGCCATCCAGACCTAGGGGGAGGGAACACAGATCATTAGATTGGTTTCCAATTGGTTTGTAAGAGACACACATCCGCCCATTCGTCTACCACCCTTTAAAACAGCAAACGATCGGTTGGCAATGAGGGTCTCCTCCTTTTCCGAAATGCTCCATTTTTCATCGATGTGAAGTACATTAAAAATGAACCTGCTCCATATATAAAGTATTAACCCCGTGACGCTGAGCGCACGCAAATATGTGGCCTCTCGACATCTGGGCCTTGACGCTGAGCGCACGCAAATATGTGGCCTCTCGGCATCTGGGCCTTGACGCTGAGCGCACGCAAATATGTGGCCTCTCCGATCTGGGCCTTGACGCCGAGCGCACGCAAATATGTGGCCTCTCGGCATCTGGGCCTTGACGCTGAGCGCACGCAAATATGTGGCATCTGGGCCTTGACGCCGAGCGGTCGCATATTTGCGTGCAATTAGAAAATACACATGTGCTGAGAGCGCACAACCGGCACATATGTCCGCAACTCACGGAAAAGGTCCTGATCTCCCCTTTCGATCGGGACCTTTTCCAATCACGGTGGTCACATGACCCTAAAACCCCGCCCGCCTCCTGGCTTCTGAAACTCTTAAAGGGTCACGAAGAGATTAAAAGAGATAGGTGGGCTGAGCAGGCATTGAGCCGGTCAATTCTTTATGGCCTGGGGCATAAACCCTCAATTTCCATGGACCTGCACTCATTCCAATGGCCTGGTCTATACCTGCATCTCTCTTACCCTGTGTTGTGGTCTCTCCGTTGGTTCCAGCCAGAGGGACAACACCTTTGTCAACCTGGGAAAAGAAAGAGAATCATTAAGTGACGGCCGATGCTTGGACCAAACAAATCCAGCGCCAACCTACCCACAGTTCCCCTTGGCTCACCTTGATTCCTACAACGGCTCCTTTGTCCTTGATGACCTTGGTGAACTGGTTGCCATTGTCTGCCTTGTGGTAGAGAGTCTCGTGGAAGAGGATGACGCCACCAATGCAGGGGTTGACTCTGTCGTCAGCGGTGAAGAGCAGCTGGCGGTAGAAGCGGCGGTTCTCCTCTGTGTTCTCTACGCCAATGGAGCTCAAACGCTTAGCAATGCTGCCTACAGAGGCCAAGAAAGGCTGTTAATGTGGACCTTTCATGAACCGCACAGGTCTGTATGAACACATTCCTGATGAGTCACAATATCATTTTTCAGAAAAGCTCCACCTTTTGTAATTACAAGAAAAACATCCTTGAGCTCCACTCAGTGACTTTGCCTAGGCTCATATGATGTCATCAGTCTGCTGCAGGCAGGATGAAGCATTTCCTCTTCCCCAGTGAAAAGACTGCAACATTATAACAAGTCACAAGGTTGCAACTTTATAAAAAAAAAAAAAAAAAAAAAAAAAAAGAGGCTGTAGCATCAAATGGTGGAAAACCAATGGGTACTCTCCTGGAGGCACACACACACACACACACACACACACACACACACACACACACACACACACACACTTCAGAGATGGTTGAGCATGGTGACTTATGGCGATTGGCCCAGCACGGTCACATGGGGGTGTAGAGATGGTCAGCTCTGTAAGCTCAGGCTGGAAATTTAAAATGAACTTGCACACTCCCCGCTGTTTTTCCTCACTCCCTGCGGCGGCTGTAGGCTCTCAATATTACTCCCTGCGGCTGTAGGCTCTCAATATTACTCCCTGCGGCTGTAGGCTCTCAATATTACTCCCTGCGGCTGTAGGCTCTCAATATTACTCCCTGCGGCTGTAGGCTCTCAATATTACTCACTCCCTGCGGCTGTAGGCTCTCAATATCACTCCCTGCGGCTGTAGGCTCTCAATATCACTCCCTGCGGCTGTAGGCTCTCAATATCACTCCCTGCGGCTGTAGGCTCTCAATATTACATTACACCCTGAGGCTGTAGGACCTCATATATTACTCCCTGCGAATGTAGGCTCTCCATATTACTCCCTGTGGCTGTAGGCCTGTGGCTGTAGGCTTTCATTATATTGTGCTCTCCTTTCTCTGCGGCTGTAGGCTCTCCATATTACTCCCTGCGACTGTAGGGCTCTCATCAATATTACTCCCTGTGATTGTAGGCTCTCCATATTACTCCCTGCGGCTGTAGGCTCTCCATATTACTCCCTGCGGATGTAGGCTCTCCATATTACTCCCTGCGGCTGTAGGCTCTCAATATTACTTCCTGCAGTTGTAGGCTCTCAGTATTACTCCCTGCAGTTGTAGGCTCTCACTATTACTCCCTGCAGTTGTAGGCTCTCAGTATTACTCCCTGCAGTTGTAGGCTCTCAGTATTACTCCCTGCAGTTGTAGGCTCTCAGTATTACTCCCTGCAGTTGTAGGCTCTCAGTATTACTCCCTGCAGTTGTAGGCTCTCAGTATTACTCCCTATTACTCCCTGCAGTTGTAGGCTCTCACTATTACTCCCTGCAGTTGTAGGCTCTCACTATTACTCCCTGCAGTTGTAGGCTCTCACAGTTGTAGGCTCTCAGTATTACTCCCTGCAGTTGTAGGCTCTCACTATTACTCCCTGCAGCTGTAGGCTCTCCATATTACTCCCTGCAGGCTGTAGGCTCTCATTATAGTTTAGGCTCTCACTACTCCCTGCAGTTGTAGGCTCTCAGTATTACTCCCTGCAGTTGTAGGCTCTCACTATTACTCCCTACTCCCTGCAGTTGTAGGCTCTCACTATTACTCCCTGCAGTTGTAGGCTCTCCTATTACTCCTGCAGTTGTAGGCTCTCACTATTACTCCCTGGTTGTAGGCTCTCACAATAGGCTTACTTCCCTGCAGTTGTAGGCTCTCAGCTCTCACTATTACTCCCTGTGGCTGTAGGCTCTCAATATTACTCCTTGCAGTTGTAGGCTCTCAAAACTACTCCCTGCAGCTGTAGGCTCTCAGTATTACTCCCTGCGGCGGTAGGCTCTCAATACTGATATCTGAACTCAGCCCGTAGTTGTTAGTCTCTGCTAATTAAAGGGTACTTTTACTCCAGAGCTGGCACAACAGGGACCTATTTGTTCATTCTATTTCGCTTCCTCTGCTGTTTCAACAACCAGAACTATTGCAAGTTGAACTTGATGTGTCACAAAGCTTATCTAAATCCAAGAATGAGAATGTATTATATATTGCAGCTCACCAGCCCTTAGATGTGGTGGCTGCATTAGTTTTCTTTTTTAGATATTTTTTTTTTTCTCCATTTTCACCTGGTGTTCCTGTGTTAGGGTGGCCATGCTTACTCCTCCACTGTATCTATGGGAGGAGCAACATAACCCCCCTTGTGCAGCAGCATTGCCACCCTGTGGGGAGGGTAGTGTTAGATGGACTAGTAGATTTTAATGCATTTTACATAAGTCACTAACAAATTAAACTCCAGAGAACACATTTCAGAAACATATTTTTCCTTTTGGGATAAAGGTTTCACATAAATAAATCAAAGCTGACCACTGTAAGCACCCCTGTCAGTTCGCAATGCATTATCTCAACCTTCTAACTGCCACTTTTGCTGAACAGTTTGGTCTGTTAAAGAATACTGAAAAATAACAAACTTACTGGCAGGATCATCAGGTGAAAATAAAGGTTAAAAAAAAAATGAATGCAGCCACCACATTTCATGAATGGTGAGTTTTTGCTTTTAGGTTTAGGTATACTTTACATAGTTTGTCTCAAAACTAACTGGCAATTTTGCTGGTCAGCTTGGCCTGTCAAAGGAAGGTAAAAATAAAACAGAATTACTGGCGGGATCGCCAGTAATAAATCTGTGATATGGGGGGGGACAGCTCTGAAAAGCAATCTGTGGTGGATCGAGTTTTACAGTCGGTTGACAGATGGCTTGGATGCAATAAGTCATCCCCTGGATACCTTGCTTTTTATGGGGAAAGCCCGCCACACCACATGCATCAGAGTCTTGTTCACTTGAATGGGTTGCATTTGTTGGTGACGGCGTGCCATTCTGCAAAAAAGTTACTGCGCCACAGCAATCTGTACAGACATGTATGCCAGCAACATTGACCACCTGTTTTTACCGCCCCCTCCCCTACTGCCTGTGTGATTCAAGTGCAGAGTGGATCACTGTCCCGCCTCCCCACCTCCTCCATTCAGGGAAGGCGGCTTATTCATTATTCATTGAACTAATACAAAGCATTCTGCGAATGGTGACAATGCTGAGCAAGAGACCCCCTGTGGGCACCACTGCAGGGATCACTATAGTAGTGACAACTGGCACAGCAATTGTCAGCGTTCCCAGCGATGGCACAGTTATGAGATACCCATACTTGTAACTATGCAATAAAAAATCATTTTGGAGTTGTAGCCGATTGCCACCCACATAACACATATGTGCTGCGGTTAAGAGGGCGGCCTTTAATGGCCCATGGATGGCGGAGCTTTCTGTGCTGAGAGCGCCCCTATCAGTGGCCGAGCCGTCACAGCAAATGGGCTCCCAATCATGTGACAGCCGTTCATAGTGATCACGTGATCGGGAAGTCTGACCCAATTAAAGGGATGCTAGGGCTGGGCGGGAAGGGGTTAAAATTAATCTACAAACAATGGGGGAGATTTACTAAAACTGGTGCAGCTGCGCATGGGAGCCAATCAGCTTCCAGGTTTTATTGCCAAAGCTTAATTGAACAAGCTGAAGTTTAGCAGGCCATACGTGGGTCGAATTCCGAACAATTTTTCTCATTGAAAACATTTATTTATTTCAGGTACTTATATAGCGCCGTCAATGTACGCAGCACTTTACATATATATTGTACATTCACATCAGTCCCTAACCCTCAAGGGGTGTACAATCTAAGGTCCCTAACTCACATTCATACATACACATACTAGGGACAATGTAGACAGGAGCCAATTCACCTACCAGCATGTCTTTGGAGTGTGGGAGGAAACCGGAGTACCCGGGGGAAACCGACGCAGGCACAGGTAGGTGGTGCCGTGGCTGGGATTCGAACCAACGACCCCAGTACTGCCAGGCGAAAGTGCTAACCATTTAGCCATTGTGCTGCCCATATCATTTGTTCTGTGTGGGTAGCACAGTGGCTAAATGGTTAACACTTCCGCCTGCCAGTACTAGGGTTGACCTAGTCGACGGCACCACCTGCCTGGAGTTTGCATGTTCTCCCTGTGTCTGCGTGGGTTTCCTCTGGGTACTCCGGTTTCCTCCAACACTCCAAAGACATGCTGGTAGGTTAATTGGCTCCTGTCTAAATTGTCCCTGGTACGTGTATGTATGAATGTAAATAAATAAATAATCCGATGGTGCCACCAATGATTTGGAAAATCGGTCAATTTTCCAGCATGCCCGATAAACGAAATGAGGAGGAACTACAAAAATCAGCCAATGCCATTGTCCCACTAACAGAGCGAAAATCGGCCAATTTTTCTTAGGTCCGATTTGCGAATGAAAAATCATTAAAAAAAACTGACCCATGTACGGCCAGCCTTAGAAACCTTAGAAGCGGATTGGCTGCCATGCACAGCTGCACCGGATTCTGACATTTTAGTAAATCCCCCCCACTGTTATAACTGTTCTTTAATACATTTACAATCAAGGCATGCCTTGGTGATAACTGTCACTGTTGCCAGTGTGCTCCTTATGTCAGAACACACATTGGCTGCACAATAGCCGCCTGTTGTTGATGGTTGCTATGCTAGCAGCTACTCAATAACAAGCTCTGTGTAGTAATATGAACACGGGACGAATCTAGAAGAAGATCAATACGTCCTTAATTAAAGGATAATTAGACTTTCATGCTACCTCCCCCACAGCACTCCCCTAAAGCGTATGCTCCTCTGTCCTCCAGAACCCATGTGCAGAAAAATCCCATCCCTCCATAGGGTGGGGGAGAGAGTTTATCAACGTCGTGTTCGTTTTATTGTTATTGCACGCAGTACTTTGCCCTGTAGTCCTATGGTATGATAATGAGGACGTTCGATGTACAGTGACCCAGGTCAGTCCAGCTCAGCACTGGCACCGAGTTTCCCCGCAGCTGATTTTATTGAGCCTATTCTTATGGTGATTGGATTAGGTTTGGTTGTGATTTTTAAATATTTGTAATCGTAGATTTGTGTGCTGTGTTGTTACATTGTTGCTCACGGGGATATATGTCGTTACCCCAATAAAGTCTGTAACATTTCCCATCGCATATTACTTCGGGGTTGATTTACTAAAAGGCAAATAGGCTGTGCTGTTGATCCAGAGCTTAGTGAATGAGGTAAAGCTTCACTTTGCAAAGAATACCCAATCACAAGCAAGGAAAATAAAAATAAAATTAATTCATTCATTCATTTCCGTGCACATGATTGGATGATGGAAGTCGGCGAAGATTCTTCTCATTTACTAAGCTCTGAGGCAACCACACTTGCAAGGTGCCCAGTAAATCAACCCCATAGTCCTAGTTTTTTTAGCAGAGCACACATTCTTAATAGTGAAGGAGAGTTCTTTTGTTGCGCAGAATTTTATTCTGGTCTGTGACCCCTCTGGGGAGATTTCCCTTACTTCCTGTTCCAGTGTCACCTGTACAAGATGCTGGGGGTACAGTTGTATAGAAGACACAAACATAATCGTAAAATTGAAACCTTTTTCACCACCTAACACGGGACTGGAAGGATCGACGATCATATGAGCATTGTCACAGGATCTGAAGCTGGTCCCGCTGGCTACTGATCTTTTAGCACCGACCAAGAGTGGTGTTTGACAGCTCGATCTCTAGGAGTGCACAATGCGTGTGCTCTCATCACATAAGCATCAGCCGCCCAGTGACACATATGTGTGGTGTGTGGGTGTTGAACCTTCCCTTTTGCCACCACATGTGTCACTGGACAGCCGAAGTTTGTGTGATGAAAAGCATGCACACTGCGCGCTCCCAGCACAGAGACCTAGCTGTCAAAAGAGGTATCTCAGTCGGCACTAAAGATCGGTAGCCAGCGGGACCAGCTTTAGATCGTGTGACCACTGTGACAGTGGTCATAAGTTCATCGATCCATCACGTCCCCTGGGTGTTCATAACTGTTTAAAGGGATGCCGGGGCAGGCGTGAAAGGGTTAACACTTCCACTCTCTACTTATAAATACATTTTTTTGTCTGTGTCCCCATTGGAAGAGATTTCCTGTCCAGATGTGATGGGAAATCTTCCCAAATAGGGACACAGATGGCAATAAATACCAGACAGAGGCTCCAACACTTCTATCTATTAGCCAATACCAAATAAATGGTTTTGGCTAGAGTTGAGCTTTAACAGGGAGAGTGGCGCAGTGCCTGGCAGAGTTGTATGTATCACAATAGTAGCCAAACAGAATGACAAATCCTTTCATTCAGAAGACGGTTCACAGAAGTGTATTTAGCGGATTGCCCAGAGACCAGCTTTAACATTTCCGAAGACAGATTTGCAGAATGACGCCTAGACCCCACCGCCCTCTTACCTGTGGACTCATCGGCAGCCAGGATACCCTTGCCGGTAGCCACGATACGCAGTGCGATCTCATGGAGCTCCTTCTTCTGCTCGGTGGTGAAGGCTGGGTATTCGGTGGGCATTTTGCTGCGTTCTGGAATAAAGCAGAGCGACCCGGGATTAGTCAATGAATGGTGGAAGACAAAGCTAGGGAATGTCAGGGCGGGGCGGCACGTACAGGACACACCTATACAGTAATACCTGCTCTAGGCATGGCTATGTTAACCCCTTCCTCACCAAAATAAAAAAAAAAACCTTATTGCACTCTGACAAGCACTGCTAGCGCCTACAAAGGCCTGCTACGCATGACGTCCCACGTTGCCGTCCCTTTGCAAGGTCCTACCCAGAGTATGCAACTCTAAAAATAGGCTTGTCCATCAGCGGAGGGAATTCCTCCGAGAGAAGAGACTCAGAGGACACACAGACCTTGGAAGTCCACAAGAGAAGGGTTCCGCTGTGGCACCCTACGGGCTATGGCCTTCGAAGGGTTACAAATACGGTTTGTGAGAGTGATGGCTCATAGTGAGCATTCCTTCTTCACGGAAATGATGAGGCAAAAAGGAAGTTGCAGAATCCTTGAGGCCTGGAGGACGGAGGCAGCACTGAGCACACAAGGGGGCTCCTCATGGTGGGGGGATGATGGCTGCATGGCATTGTTAACCTTTTTCCTTCCATGAAGAAAATGACACCAGCATGAGCCTCTGAGTATCATGGAGGCCGGGGTGGATTTATTAACCCCTGCCAGCTCAAGGCACGCCCCCACCATTTTCTGTCTGCACCAGATATTGTCTGTTATTAATCTCTGAGATGCCAGAATTAGATACACATTCACTGCGATCATTCACATGGACGCTTCTCCAACATTCATACCCATTGCGATCATTCACATGGACGCTTCTCCAACATTCACACCCATATTGTCCTTACAAAGTAGATTTTCTATTCTATCTCCATCATCATGTTTAATCCTTCATCAGTTATTTGCAAACCCTCCTCATCTCCATCATTAGCCATGTATGTGGTCCATCCTTCCCACTGAGTCTACCCAAACAGTCATCAGTACTGTCCGCATCCAGAGGGTTCCCCATGTCCATCCTCTGCCCCGCTGTCTGACCTCCTCAATAATCAATGACCTTCCTGTCTGTATCCTCCCCCTCCAAGCAGAGGTCATCAATGAGCCATGACTGACCTTCACAGCTCACCAATAATAGATGTACTGCTTTCCCCATTGTTGTCTACCACCTACTTCTCTACTCCATCCCAACCTACCTCCCTACACCTCTCTCCATCCCAACCTACCTCTCTCCATCCTCACCTACACCTCTCTCTATCCCAACCTACCTCCCTACACCTCTCTCCATCCCAACCTATCTCTCTCCATCCCAACCTACCTCCCTACACCTCTCTCCATCCCAACCTACCTCTCTCCATCCTCACCTACACCTCTCTCTATCCCAACCTACCTCCCTACACCTCTCTCCATCCCAACCTACCTCCCTACACCTCTCTCCATCCCAACCTACCTCCCTACACCTCTCTCCATCCCAACCTACCTCCCTACACCTCTCTCCATCCCAACCTACCTCCCTACACCTCTCTCCATCCTCACCTACCTCACCGGTCTTCTCTCCATCCTCACCTACCTCACCGGTCTTCTCTCCATCCTCACCTACCTCACCGGTCTTCTCTCCATCCTCACCTACCTCCCGGTCTTCTCTCCATCCTCACCTACCTCCCCGGTCTTCTCTCCATCCCCACCTACCTCCCCTACCTCCCCGGTCTTCTCTCCATCCCCACCTACCTCCCCGGTCTTCTCTCCATCCCCACCTACCTCCCCGGTCTTCTCTCCATCCTCACCTACCTCCCCAGTCTTCTCTCCATCCTCACCTACCTCCCCAGTCTTCTCTCCATCCTCACCTACCTCCCCAGTCTTCTCTCCATCCTCACCTACCTCCCCAGTCTTCTCTCCATCCTCACCTACCTCCCCAGTCTTCTCTCCATCCTCACCTACCTCCCCAGTCTTCTCTCCATCCTCACCTACCTCCCCAGTCTTCTCTCCATCCTCACCTACCTCCCCAGTCTTCTCTCCATCCTCACCTACCTCCCCAGTCTTCTCTCCATCCTCACCTACCTCCCCAGTCTTCTCTCCATCCTCACCTACCTCCCCAGTCTTCTCTCCATCCTCACCTACCTCCCCAGTCTTCTCTCCATCCTCACCTACCTCCCCAGTCTTCTCTCCATCCTCACCTACCTCCCCAGTCTTCTCTCCATCCTCACCTACCTCCCCAGTCTTCTCTCCATCCTCACCTACCTCCCCAGTCTTCTCTCCATCCTCACCTACCTCCCCAGTCTTCTCTCTCCATCCTCACCTACCTCCCCAGTCTTCTCTCCATCCTCACCTACCTCCCCAGTCTTCTCTCCATCCTCACCTACCTCCCCAGTCTTCTCTCCATCCTCACCTACCTCCCCAGTCTTCTCTCCATCCTCACCTACCTCCCCAGTCTTCTCTCCATCCTCACCTACCTCCCCAGTCTTCTCTCCATCCTCACCTACCTCCCCAGTCTTCTCTCCATCCTCACCTACCTCTCCCATCTTCTCTCCATCCTCACCTATCCTCACCTACCTCCCCAGTCTTCTCTCCATCCTCACCTACCTCCCCAGTCTTCTCTCCATCCTCACCTACCTCCCCAGTCTTCTCTCCATCCTCACCTACCTCCCCAGTCTTCTCTCCATCCTCACCTACCTCCCCAGTCTTCTATCCATCCTCACCTACCTTCCCAATCTTCTCTCCATCATCACCTACCTCCCTAGTCTTCTCTCCATCCTCACCTACCTCCCTAGTCTTCTCTCCATCCTCACCTACCTCCCTAGTCTTCTCTCCATCCTCACCTACCTCCATAGTCTTCTCTCCATCCTCACCTACCTCCCTAGTCTTCTGTTCCTTACCTTACCTACCTCTCACTCCATCATCACCCACCTACCTATTCTTTTCTCCATCAACACCTACCTCCCATCTTCACCTATCCACCCCACACCTTTCCAACTCCCTGCTGCTCACCTACCTCCCTACTTCTCTCTCCATCCCAACCTACCTCCTTAGTCTTCTCTCCATCAATCTCCCACCTCCTTAGTCTTCTCTCCATCCATTTCCTTACACCTACCTCCACCTCCCCAACTCCTTTCTCCATCCCCACATACCTCCCTACTCTTTTCTCACCACTTACATCAGTTCCCTTCCCATCACCTCCTTACCCCTCCTCCTCTGATGTCCTCCTAGTCTTCACCAGGTCCCAGTCCTAGCACTGCAGACTCCTATCACGTTCTCCATTCTCCAGTGACGTCACTGCCCTCCATGCTGGGGGATCCCCTGACCTCATCCTGTCTAATATTCTATAAAAGGGCAATGTGTGATGGATATCCTCCTCTTCTCTCTGTCTTTAGAGGCAATGATCCTGTCTCCCCTCATACCAGTACCCCAAATCCTCCCCTCCCCCATCCAGAACCCCCATTTGTCTCTATACCAGTACCCCAATTCCTCCCCCCACCCCATACAGAACTCCCATTCCTCTCCATAGCAGAACCTCCATTCTGCTGCATACCAGTACCCCAATTCCTTCCCAATCCAGAACCCCCATTCCTCTCCATACCAATACCCCCATTCCTCCCCTCCCCCATCTAGAACCCCCATTCCTCTCCATACCAGTACCCCAATTCCTTCCCAATCCAGAACCCCCGTTCCTCTCCATACCAATACCCCCATTCCTCCCCTCCCCCATCTAGAACCTCCATTCCTCTCCATACCAGTACCCCAATTCCTCCCCCACCCCATACAGAACTCCCATTCCTCTCCATAGCAGTACCCCAATTCCTCCCCCATCCAAAACCCCCATTCCTTCCATCCCATCATCCAGTACCCCCACTCCTCCCCCCATCCAGTACCCCCATTCCTCCCCAAATACCAGCACCCCCCATTCTTTCCCTCTCCCCATCCAGTACCTTAATTTCTCCCCTCCCCCACCCATCACCCCTTAGCTCTCACCTCCTCCCTGGTCTCCTCTGAACTGATCTCAGTCTTCTCATTCACAACGTCATGTAGCCAGGAGGAGGGGCGGGGCCAGCATTTAAAGGGACCTCTCACATCCAGCAGCACAGGGCTCCTTTCTCCCTCCACCTCAAGGTCATCCAGGGTTGTGCTGGAGCCCACCATAGGGCAGGCATGGCTCTGACATTTGTATACTGCACCATGGAGGGGATATCATTCAATATCATTTGTGACCTATGACTCTGGATCTATAGGGGGATTCCCTGTGGGGGGTCACCCATCTGCTGTGATCAGATCTGTGTCCCCCAGTCATGTCATATATGTGTGATGGGCTCTGGGTGTCACCTTCATGAAGGTCACCTACAAGAGGACCCCCCATGTCCCCCAGCAAGGACGTGACAGCAGGCACACAGCCCCTGTGATGTCACATATACAGTCATCTCTGCCAGCCACACACCCCCATCTCCTTCCTGTGCACAGTCATCCCAGGCTGCAGAGCATCACATTTCCTGCAGAGCATCACACCCCCCTCCCCCCACCATCCCCAGCTTTCTAAAGAACTTTCTGCTGATGACAACGTACACAGCAATACTCAGGAACATGGGGGGGGGGGTAATAATATCATAAAATGTGCCAGAAGATTTCATTTTGTTGGTAAAAATAAAAAAAAAATAACAAAATAAAAAAATAAAAGTGAAAATTTAATGAAGTTAAAAAATCTAAAAAGCTTTCTTGCGTTGGCCGGGAATCGAACCCGGGTCAACTGCTTGGAAGGCAGCTATGCTCACCACTATCACCACCAACGCCGGATACAGGGAGCTGGGAGAGGGAAGCTTTCCAATGAACGTATATAGGTAATACTTTACAGGTTGGGATCATGACTATACATGTTACATTGTTGATTGTCACAGAGCTTGGGAGCTTTACCACCAATACAGGGAGCTGGGAGGGAAACCTTCCAATGATACATTGTATATAGAATGTAATACACATTACAGGTTGTAGATTGATTCATAGACTATACATGTTACATTGTTGTACATTGTCACAGGGCTT